ATTATTTTATCGGTGTTGGCTGTGAAAAGAAGGTCATTATCGCTTATTGTATTAGCTGCTAATTTTAAACATCTTGACACAATTTTGACCTCTTTTACTTATTGTCACACATATAGCAGCATTCTTGTCTTTGGCTTTACACTACATGTCACATTCACACACATTTATCAGCATCAGGAGTCCCTTAGGGTTCAGCACACTTCGACATGCAGTGGGAGGAGCCGGGGATCAAACGTCCAACCTACTGATTAGTGGACGACCTGCTCTACCTCCTCCACGTCACAGGGGAACCTGGTACCAACAACCTAAAACTGAAGGCAAAACAATCAGAATTCCTGCAGTACACGAGGCCTCATTCGTCATCAGTCATGCCGTTCTCTAAATATTCTGGGTTTCCCAGCTCACCTGAAATAAAGAGCACATCCACTAACGAGCTTCCCACCTCTGCTAATCAGTCTCTAGGAAACCCTAATACAGTACAAACCTGGATACAGAGCTTCAGCACTGAGGCCTCAGAGCTGCGCTATGAAGTAACATCGCTAATCATACGGATCTGTGAAATGTTTTGTAAACTGTGATTCTTAAACTATACAACTGGGAAAACAGCATCTGGGTTACACATAACCAACATTTTAGTGACTATGGGTGCGTTCCATTTCGCTAATTAAAACTATGTTTTTATCCAAATTTAGTCCAGTTCAACACTGACGTCTAGACATCTTTTGATCTGCAAACACATCAGTGCTTACTGCTATGTGCTTTTGAAGTCTGGGCGTGATTTTTTGTTTGTAGAGTTTTTAATTGAGTTCTGAATACAGATTAGTCTCAGAAACTAATTTTATTTCACTCAGGAAATAAATTCTGCATTTATACCCTGAATATATCTGCACATGCAGACAAAGAGAGAAAGGAAAGACAAACTATTGTGCCTGTGAGACCCAGAAAGCCCGAGAGGCATAAAAAACATCTCACTCCAAGAAAAGAAAAAGGCAGAGGGGATAGAAAATCAAGATGACAAACAGACTCAGGTGAAAAGCCAACAGAAACTAAATGAAGCCAGGTTTGCTACAGACTGAGTGTGTAATGAAGTGTGAGTGTGTAAATGTTGAGGGGAAAACTAAAACTCCTTCCTCTATTCAGGCACTAGACTCTCTCCCCTCGTCTTCCTGTTGGTTTCTCTGCCGTCTCCTCCTCCTGTCGGGCCCGTTTCGGTATCATGGTGATTGGAGGGGAGCGGCGGCTCTGCAGGCATCTGCTCGTTTTGT